CTGGCATAAGTTTAGGGCTTAGTCAGGCTTTAGTATATTTTTAGAAGTGCCAATGGATGGGCCAGTTGAGTTTATAAGATTTTTTTGGAAAGAAAACAAATCAGAAAGGTTTTAATTTGTTGCTTTTTCTGCTAGTAGCTGCTTTTCAGCTGTGGTTACCAAACTGTTCACATTTGTGAACATTTAGTACTGCGTTTTCTGAGTCACTGTACCTGCAAGGGGCTGTTTCAGAGGAACTGCTGAAGTATGGTTTCAGTGACAAAAGTACAACCGCAAATGATCCTGATGACTGTCTGACTGAGTTGATAGTGATCAGTTTTTACCTTCCTCGCCTTATTTCTTAGACTTTAACCATGTCACAGAATCACAGAATGGTAGGAGTTGGAAGGGATCATCCAGTCCAACCCCCCTGCTAAAGCAGGTTCACCCAGAGCAGGTTGCACGACATCGTGTCCAGGCGGGTTTGGAATGTCTTTGGAGAAGGAGACTCCACAGTGTCTCTGGGAAACCTGTTCCAGTGCTCTGTCACCCTCAAAGTAAAGCAGTTTTTTCTCCTGTTCAGATGGAACTTCCTGCGTTGCAGTTTGTGCACATTGCCCCTTGTCCTGTCACTGGGCGATGCTGGAGAGAGTCTGGCCCCATCCTCTTGACACCCACCCTTTATATATTTATAAGCATTGATAAGATCCCCTCCCTCAGTCTTCTCTTCTCCAGGCTAAATAGACCCGAGTCTGTCAGCCTTTTCTCCTAAGAGAGGTGCTCCAGTCCTCAGATCATCTTTGTAGCCCTCTGCTGGATTCTCTCCAGTGGTTCTTTGTCTTGAACTGGGGGGCCCAGAACTGGACACAGTACTCCAGATGTGGTATCACCAGGGCAGAGTCGAGCAGGAGGATGACTTCCCTCAACCTGCCATCCACATTCTTTTTAATGCTCCCCAGGAGACCACTGGCCTTCTTGGCCACATGGGGACATTACTGGCCCATGGTCAACTTGCTGTCCATCAGGATTCCCAGGTCCCTCTATACAGTGCTGCTTTCCAGCAGGTCAGCCCCTAACCTGTACCAGTATATGGGGTTATTCTGCCACAGGTGCAGGACCTGACACTTGCTTGTGTTGTACTTCATCAGGTTCCTCTCTGCAAAACTCTCCAGCCTGTCCAGGTCTTGCTGGATGGCAGCACAGCCTTCTGGTGTCAGCCACCCCTTCCAGTTTTGTGTCATCAGCAGACTTGCTGAGGGTACACTCCGTCCCCCTCCAGTGGTTCTTTGTCTTGAACTGGGGGGCCCAGAACTGGACACAGTACTCCAGATGTGGTATCACCAGGGCAGAGTCGAGCAGGAGGATGACTTCCCTCAACCTGCCATCCACATTCTTTTTAATGCTCCCCAGGAGACCACTGGCCTTCTTGGCCACATGGGGACATTACTGGCCCATGGTCAACTTGCTGTCCATCAGGATTCCCAGGTCCCTCTATACAGTGCTGCTTTCCAGCAGGTCAGCCCCTAACCTGTACCAGTATATGGGGTTATTCTGCCACAGGTGCAGGACCTGACACTTGCTTGTGTTGTACTTCATCAGGTTCCTCTCTGCAAAACTCTCCAGCCTGTCCAGGTCTTGCTGGATGGCAGCACAGCCTTCTGGTGTCAGCCACCCCTTCCAGTTTTGTGTCATCAGCAGACTTGCTGAGGGTACACTCCGTCCCCTCCTCCCGGTCATTGATGAATATGTTGAACGAGACCCAACCCAGTTGGGTCCCCTGTGCTTTCCTCCAGTCCCCAGGCACCTCTCCTGTTCTCCATGACCTTTCAAAGATGATGGAGAGTGGCTTCTCAGTAACATCCACCAGCTCCCTCAGCACTTGGGGGTGCACCTCATTGCAGCCTGTAAGTGGGGTCATTTTTATTTGTACAATGTGCAAGGTCTTCTTTAGGAACTTGTAACAATTTCTGGTTTAAAATGGATTTTGTTGCTTGGTGGTTGGAGAGCAGATGAGGCCTGAGTGTGTTACCCAGCTGCCTGGTGGCTGGCCCATGCACTGTGGAGACAAAAAATGATATAATTGTGCTGGACATTAAATCTGACCCTCCTCATGTTTAAAACTCTGAGCGTTCCTTTAAAAAAAAAAAAAACAAAAAACAAAAGGAGCGGGGTGGGGGGAGGTGAGTTTTAACACGCTGAGCAGAGGGAAGACTTCTAAGGATCATCCTGTTTTGTGAAGAGAGACTAAGTCTTTTTGACACATGACTAAATAGCCATAAATTGGCTGTAAATGAATTCTGGCTTGAAATGAGGTGGTGGCCCGTACTGCCTGCATCAGCTGGGTGCAGGACAGCCTTTCCAGGAGCAGCAGGAGAGGTGCTACTGGTGAAGCTCCAGCTGAAATCTTGCTGCTTTTGTTACAGTTCTCAGGAATAGCTGTATTTAGTGCTGTGGTGTGTAAAAACACCCACAAGGAGCGTGGTACACACGGGACATCTTCTGTTGTATCTGTGGCATGTCTTTCCCACGGAGGAGAAAGATAACTAGTGGAGAAACAGTGATAAAAGTGCTATTGAGAAATGCTACTTATGATAAGAAAAAAAAATAAAATTACTGAGAGCTGCTATTTGTGCCTTCTTTCTGATAATGCCACGAGGATAGCCAACGTGTGTCATTCTTTTCCTGGAAAATTACGGTACAGTTTGCCTCTCCCTAATGGCTGCCTCGTTTCATTTTTCTGAAATGCCACGTTGGTGGTAGGAAGCGAGGCGCGTACACCCAACCTGTGCTCGCAATCTGGGGATTGGCATGGCGACACCGGATTGCTAAGCAACAGTTGGCATCATGCTGTCTGCTACAGCCCGTTCCCCCTTCATCCTCCTTGAGAGTGCCTGGAAAATCAAGATCGGCATCTAGCTCGTGGTTTAAGTAACGAAAAAGAATAGTAGATTGGTAACTTATTTTGTGTAAAGTTTGTAATTTTATTTTCGAAGTGCTAAATACCCATACAGAGAAAAGCAGTCAGGACGTGCTTTGTCCGTTCCTAGAATGGTGAATCCTAAATGATCTTAGCACCTTGCGATAGGGTGTGTATGGTGTGAAGTGAGACCAGTTTCCTGTACAGCCAGCAGTGCCAGATCTCACCAAATACGGCATCAAATAGCTACATCATCTACAAATTGCATCTTCAGACTAAAGAGAATAACTATAGGATTTAACCTCAAAAGACCAGTATTGGTAGCCCTGGATTTTAAATACCTTTTTTGGTTAAGGGAAGACTTAACTTTTCTTGCTTCTGCAAAAGCTCAATGTAGACTTGCTCAGAAAGAAAGTACTTAAAAAATATAAATAAAAACCCCAGTAGGAAGAACTACTAGTTAAGCATCTCTGGGTAACTACCTCTTGGTTTAACTTTTGTTACTGACAATACCAAGTGAAATTTGTTGCTAAGCTCGTTAGCTAAATATCTGATATTAATCATATCAACATCTTGATTTATAAGACCTGGATAATTTTTGTTCTGTGTAGGGTTTGGGGTTGGTTGTGTTTGCGGTTTGTGTGTGTGTTTTGTTTGTTTTGTTTGTTTTTACTTTCAGTGCTCTTGTGAATTTCCATTTTAGTAACTACAGTGAATCATACAACATTCCCAATTTCCAGTTTTTATTAGCTACACTCCCAGCTACTCAGTCATTCTTACAGTGTGTTTTTACCAGACTGGAGATACTCAAGAAGGAGGTAGTTTGCCACTTCCTTCTTTTGAGACTTTCCCTCCGTCTAGCAGATCCCATTGTAGCATTTGTATTAATTTTCATTTTCCATTTCTTTTTATTTTGTTTCATCCTTTGCTTCCAAGCATATTTCATACACTACATTTGTTTCTTCTTTCGCTGTGTTCCAATTGTGTAAGTACCTAGGTATTGGCACTAACCTGTCTTTCGTTTAATGAGTAGTTAGACTGTACATATTAAGCTCCCTTCATCTTTTTAAATTATTTATGGTTATTCTCGCTGCTGTTTGTTAAATGTTATGTTCCTTTTCTAATGTGTCTTTCTGCTGCTTTGCAGAACAAATGTGCTACAAGTGGTTGTAAAAATGAGTGTAAAACAGTGAATGCTTTTTAAGTGGCTGATAGACTCATCGTGTGAAGCTGTCCATGAGCTCCCGTGTTGTCTAATCAGGGGAATGAGCCAGAAGCCTGAGCTCTGTTCCTCACACGACTTGCCAGTTGACTTTGCAGTGAAGTTCAAGGTCTTACTTCAGGAGGATCTTTAATGCCACAGTACTGTGTAGTTCAAAGACATCCTTAAGCAGTTGATTTTGGTCTTAAGGACGTGTTAGATGTTAGTGGTTGGAGCTAAAAGGAACTTCTGATGGGAAATTTTCAAATTTCTCAAGACTTTTTTTCCTGACAGAAATACGTATCAACTGGGACTGTCAATTTGGCATTATTCAGTAAGATTTTTACATGCATTATTGTCCAGCTTTTTGTGGACTTCCTCCAGACTTTTCTTTCAGTATCATTCAGAAAACTCTCTATATTTTTTTTTAATAACTTCTTAAAGACTTCATTGTTTTTAGAGGATGGTAAAGGGGTTGTTTCCCTGTACAGAAAATTATTTTGCCAGTTGATGTGTGATGTGTGCCCAAGTTCTGGTAATATGAGTCATGGCATTGAATGACGCTATCTGTAATTTTAAAAAGTTATTTTGGGGACATCTGGAAAATGATAGAGTTGTTTGTTGACACAAAGATTAGGATAGAAGGACATCTGCAATAGAACATAAGCCTTACTTGCTTACTGTATCATGTACAACTTCAGAATGTGTAATCTGCACAATATACTTCTACTGCATGGTCGACCTCAGCGTTGGAAAGCACTGTAATCTCTGAATCCTCTATTTTTGGACAATAGCTCTGTTTCATCAGATGAAAAGTTTGAAGAGTGAGACTTTGAGACAAGCTTGTTCTGTGCCTTTGTGTTAATGTAATGATATATATGAATAACTGTTTCCTACCTGCAGGAAATCTGTCCAGTCTAAGTCGTCTTGGCCTGAGGTACAATAGGCTGTCAGCAATCCCGAAGTCTTTAGCAAAATGCAGTGAACTTGATGAACTGAACCTGGAGAACAACAACATTTCTACTTTACCGGAGGTGAGAATTAGAGGGGATGGATTTGGGAGGGAATGTTGGTGTAAGGCATCGGGGTTTTGTAGAGGGATTGGAACCTGTGAAATAACTTTGTCTTCTGTCGCAACATCACAAATTATCCTTTGTTTTGTTCTACATGTGTGTACTGTGAAATGCTGCAATTCTGTATGTATTCGGTGTGTCTAGCAGTATAGAAAAACTGATATACAACTGCAGTGAAAAGTGGGAGCAATACTTGTGATCGTGCTTGCTTTACTGTCTCTTTAAAAAACCTTAATTAAGGAGTCTGGATTCAAGCTACATAAGAGCTTCTCATTGTTTCTATTTTATGGAGGTAGGGAAGAAGTAGAAAAATGGAAAATGGGATATCTCGTTCCCAATCTAATTGGGCAAGAATGACCTTTAAGAGAGTGGGTAAAGCTTGTCACGGCTGCATATTCTCATTTGAATGTGGAAAAGCATGCTGGTGGCACTAGTGCCATATCATCTGGCAACTCATTGACACACCTTCCATCAGTTATGAAAAATAAAAATTTACATCATTTTTCAGTTTTTAGTGACTCCACAAGGATCACAGGAGAAAATGGAAGAGAATGTGTCTTGCTTTCCTATTCATAGCTGCTGCTCTTGCTGTCTTTACCTTGGCCTGTCTCGCTTCAAGCTTAGTGTGGGACCAAGGAAAATGTCCGTAATTAGAAGTTTTGGAGCCACCTTGTCATGTTCCCTTCACAAAACACGTTCCCTGAACATCTGTATGTTTTTCTATGCTCATTCCCTAGAGTTCTCTGAAAGGTGCCCCTGTGGACTCCAGTTTCACAGTCCTGGGTAGTAGTTAGTTACAGACCATCTCTTAAATAACAGCTTTGATGTCTGCAGACTTTGAAACTATTTAAGCTGTTGGTTATACCTTTCATCCTGATTTTCCTTTTCTTAGTTTCTTACCCTTGATATATCAGGGCAGCGGAGTGTGAGATGCTCAGCTGCATACTTTTGGTGCTAGTAAACATTTAGAGAAAATGTTTGACTTTTAAGCATTACTGTCGGGGCAGAATTGCTCCAGTGACAGAAAAAAATCTGATGTGATTGATTCTTAGTTTGGATATTTCTTCCATTGCTTTAGAACTGTTTGGAGATGAAGGTTTCAGGACACAACATAGAGTACATACTTTGTTCTTTTTTAATGATGGTCTAAACTGCTTTTCTAAGCTGTTTGTTTGGTTTTGTGGTTAGTTTTGTTTTCTGTTTTTGTTTTTTTAAACATAAATTATTAGTATCAAATAATTCAAAATGTATCTTAAGACTTATACAGGAAACTATACACAGAAGGAAAAAAAAAAAAAAGCATTTGGATTTAGGGCAAGCATTCGTAGTAAAAAAGTGCAGTAACTAACTACTTTGCTTCAGATAAATTTCTGAACTCAGCAATGATAAACTGAAACTAGAGAATTCAATAAATGTTTGGGTAAAACTGTCATTTAAGAAAATGCTACTGACTGAAAGCCACCAGGCTGCTTTCAAGATGAGAGCTAAACTAGCCCACCCCACCCAGACAGATTATAAAAGCAACTACGGTATAATTACAAAAAACTAATGTGAGGGATGTTTACTTGCTTTAAAATATGTTCAGTCATAATACAAACCCCTTTGTGACTGTGCTGCTTTCTTCACGTACATTTGCTGACAATATGATAACACTTTAGCTGCTACCTTGCAGAAGTGTAGAGTTTATACTGTAATCTGTTTAAAGTAAAACATTCTGTGCTATAATACAAAGAGCTGTATTTGTGGAATAAACTTCTGAATTTCAAAACACAGTTGAAGCTGCTGACACAATGCCTAATAAATATTTTATCTTAAAAGGATGGGCTGGGAGAAGGCAGCGCTGCCACAGCTCTCATAGATACAAGAGCATTGTTCTCTTTGTATTGCCAAAGCTCTCTTGCTTCCCTTCAAATGCGTTTAATTACTCTAGGCTATTAGAGTGTATTAGCTAACATATTTTTAATATTTTTTGGTGTGTGGAAGCAGACTTCAAAAATGGCTTTTTGAAATGTCAAGATCCATTTGAAGCAATAAAGTGTGTTTGTAACCGAGCTCAGGGACTGCCTAACCCTAGGACAAGGAATATCTGTTAATTAAAGTGTAGCTAGAAGCAGTATTTCCTAATCAAAGATTATACTAGTTAATGATTAGGTTAGATTAATACTGATTTGAAGATCCATTAATTAGTTTGAGGGAGGAAATTGCTTCACTGATATTTGCCGAGATGCCCCCAGAATTGTATTTCGGTGCTTCAAGTTTTAGCTGTGACATGTAGCCAAGTCCTTATTTAATCCTGCTTTATTTACAATAACGTTAATAAACTATTTGGAAAAGTAGCCAGAGCTTTCCTGGTGAAACAGCAAAGCCATATTCTTAAGGCTTTTACGGTGAACATAGCACTGAAATTGCAACCCAGAAATACTGACATTAGGAATATGGTTGGAATCATTATCTCGTTACCGCTCATTCCTGATTGCAGATGTTGCATTATTTATGGTATGTAATGCCGCGCATAAATCTCCAATTTCTGCAACACTTAAGCAAATAGGGCTGAATTCAAGTTGGCATAGTAATAAGCAAAGGTGACACTTCAGCAGTAATTTAGATCTCATTATTCAGCCCCACAGTTCCAGCAACGTGCCTGGCACGTAACGAACAGATAAACTCCCAGCTCCGCGCTGCTGAGATTGTAGAATCTAATTAGATTGCCAAGTGAAATGAGACTCTGGATTCAATGGGCAGCCATTGCTACCCAGTTTACTCCAGGCTTCTTGTTTTTTATTTCTTAGGACAGGGGAATAAAAAGAAGTGGAGTCATAGCTATTTAGGAATATTTTGAAAAGAGGGAGAAAACCCGAATTTCCAAAACTTTGCCTTTCCATTCATTTTCTCTGTCCTGCCCGGTTATCTGAAACTGTGACAGCCTGAAAGGAAACTTCTACCAGATGGGTTCACGTTATGGATTGTTATGATATTAACAAAGATTTGTACTGGAAGTATCAAACACCAGTTTGAAAAATGGCTCACACTGTCGATACTTCTTTGGGCCCTGCTCTCGACTGTGAGCCCGTGTCGGATCAGAGCGAGCTGCTGGTGGTGGTGTTGGCCAAAGCTGGGACCACTCTTCAGGATGGACACGCTGGTGACCACCCCTGCCAGCCCCTGCCCACTTCAGAGCTGCCTGAGTTCTTCCAATGTGTTATTAAAAAAATTCCTTTTGGAGGAGAAGACTTACAAAACCTCCTCAACTTGTGCTTTTAAATGTGATATGCTTGCCTTTTTGTTTTTTTTTTTTTTTTTTTTTTTTTTTTTTTTTTTTTTTTTTTTTTTTCCTGTGTGTGTATCTGGCAATATATAAGGAGAAAGGGGGAAATGAGGTAAAGGCTGATGCCTCTGAGCAGAGATTGTTGCTGATGGAAGTTTTATCAAATTTAACACTGGTTTATGTGTTGCAATACTTATTTAGGGGATGGAGACTTGGGTGGGAAAACATTTCTAATTAGACCCATGAGGGAAAAGAAGTGGTATTCAAATAAATCTAAGTTCCTGGGTGGTTTTCTTCTCTCTACAGGGTCTTTTATCCAGCCTTGTCAAACTGACTAGTTTAACACTGGCCAGGAACTGCTTCCAGTCCTATCCTGTGGGTGGCCCGTCCCAGTTCTCCACAATCTACTCTCTCAATATGGAGCACAACCGCATCAATAAAATCCCCTTTGGAATTTTTTCTAGAGCGAAAGTATTAAGTAAGCTGAACATGAAGGTGAGGCACAGAAACATGCTACTGTGTGTAAAATCAATGAGGAGCACTGTTTGCTTCTCCATGAATTCTGGCAAACTTAATGATGTAAGGAATGAATTGATCGTGCTGAGGTGGATACTGCTGCTGTCACGTATAGAAACAGTACTGTATTAGTTTAAAAATGTACTATCAAGATGCTATTGATTTGTCTTTATTTTTGTTAGTTAAGCTTTTGCCACATTTTCTTGAGTTTCAACAATGAATACAAGAAAGTTGGTTGCATAGTTCTTGAATATTCACATGGGACGTGAGCATGTATAGTAGCTTATTTCTTCCCCCCCTCTACTGTTACAGTTTAGATTATAAACAAAATAATGTAAAATATGTTTTTTGTTTCAAAACCTAAGTTTGGAGACTTATAGCAGTAGCTGTAGAGCACAGAAAAAGAACCTTTAAATCTTTTAAAGAGATTATGTTTTTCTATGAAAGGGTTTGTTTCAAGCTCTTTAACTATATATATATGTAAAAATTGTTTGACCAATAGCTAAGCTCAGCTACTGGTTTAGAATATCTTTTGGCACAAATGGATTCTCAATTTGCATTAAAACCATTTTTTATCACATACCCATTTGTAACTTTGTATGTTCACCAGGACTTTGTATGACCTGGTTATTTAGGGTGGGTTTTTTTTTTTTTTAGTGTTTAGTCTAGGTCAAATTTTGTAGCAACATTTTGAGCAGTAAGGTGTTTAGATTAATTTCAGATGCTTTTACTCTGAACCATTAAGGTATATTTCTTTTGTGGTATGTTTGGTGGTTTTGGTTTTTTTTTCCTGTGTTGTTTGTTTTGGGGTTTTTTTTGGGCTGGTGTGTGTGGTTTGGTTGGTTGTTTTGTTTTTTACTGTATATATTTTTAGGATTCCAGTGTTGCTGATAGCACCTTTGTAAGTTATGGTGAACTTTCTGTTCTTTTTTTTCCCAGCCTCTATTATATTCAGTAATGAAAGGACAAAAAAATGCTTAACTACTGAGAAGTGTGAAACCTTCATAATTACGTACTTCTAATTTTTCCACTTCAGTTCATATTAGGAACACAGAGTCAATTCCGTAACTCTAGGCTGGGGCTGCTTATTATGTTTAGAGGAATTTAAAAAATATTTGGCCAATTATCAACACTTTATTCTTCTGATTTAATTATCGATTGTTTTGTAACGAAGTATTTTGTAAGCGGTTTGTTTAATTTCTCAGATGCCTTGCTGACTTCTTGCGAGCCCAGACCCTAAATGTTTGCTATGTTAAATCACAGGACAATCAGCTGACGTCTCTCCCCTTGGACTTCGGGACTTGGACCAGTATGGTAGAACTGAACTTAGCGACTAATCAGCTCACAAAAATCCCTGAGGATGTATCTGGGCTTGTTTCTCTTGAGGTGAGAAGAGTATAAATGAACAGCTAAGTGAATCCTTGCAAACAGGGTTCTCTGTTTCAGGTTTAAGTATTATTACTTTTGGGTCTGATAAAGACACGTAAATACGTGTATGTGTGTTTAAATAGATGTGTTGCATCTGTTTATGGTTGTTGTCAACAGCTCTTTAAATGATGTTCTTTAGGCTCTAGATGAGTGTGCAGAAAAGGCTATGTACGTATATATTTTCAACTATATAGAAAGAAAACTTTTCTCAACAGAAAGTTGCTGTTGTAAAAGAAATGGTTCAATTCCTGGAGAGACCAGCATGGAAACAGCAGAGATCAGAAAAACATGATGAAATGCTTTACAGGCAGAGGTGGCCTGAGTGTAGCACTGTGAACCTTGTAGGCAGCTGGGTGGGAACTCTCAGCCTTTGAGGGGGAAGAACTCATAGGCTGAAACGTGGACTAAACCTGCTGTGTCCCCTAGTCCTGTTTCCTAAAGTACCATCAGCAGAGACAAACTTAGTTGCCTTGGAGGGATGGAAAGGGAGAGGTGCTTGTTTGGGCAGATGAGGGGACTTCGTAGCCTCTGTGAGTTGCTGGGGAAAATCTGTTAAAGTACAAGAGCAAATGGCATATTTGAAATTGCAGAATTCCAGTTTGCTGCTCTGAGTAATTAATTATTCCTGTAGTTTGGGTCAGAAATGATATGTCTGAGTAATAGCTATTTAGTAGCCTAGTTTCCTTTAAGCGAAGGCTGTGGTTGATGTGATTGGGAGGTCAGCAACCTCTAACAGCTGGATTTGCCAATGATTTGCCAGCGGCCGGAGCTGCACCCTCCACAGACCTGCTGCTGCTATTTTCCCCTGTGATTAAAGAGTCAAATACAAAGAACTACTTGGGCAGTGTTTACACAAAAGTGAAGGTTCCCACAGCAGTGCACAGTCAGCTGTGTTGCGTGTAGGTAATATTTTCTGTTCCTGCCTTTGTTTCTTGATACGCAATTAAAACGTTACTATTCTTATCATTCTGTGGACGTCGTAGGCACCAAAGGAAGGCCACTGAAATACTGCTTGTGCTAGTGCTAAGGTTTTGGCTTTTATTCATTTTGATTTTCACTTTGCTGTTTAGCCTTGTTTTCTGTTCTGTTCCTGCCTTTTGGTGTTTGCACGTTGTTGGTGAAGGTTGTGAGAGTTGGGGGTGGTAGAAGTCAGGCGTTGGCAGCCTTGGCTGGCCTGGCAGGGAGCTGTGTGGCTGGCAGGTGCCCTTTCACATCCTCATGTTTCAATGTGCCTTGTTAAAGAACTAGATAATAGCATTGTTTAATGGGTAATTAATTACCTAACTGCCTGCTTGATCACTTCTTTGGACCATTCGACTACTCGGGAGGAGAAATGTGACCCCTGTTAACTTGCTTGTGGTATAATGAATAACTGTGTTAAATGGCATTGTAAATGAGGATACTTTTCTTGAACCCAGGATGTTTATAATCCAACTTAGAAAGGAGGAGAAAACCAAGAGGATAACACTGTAACAGGGGTGAGAGTGTGATAGGAGACTGTTTTGAAAAGCCAGTGGGTATCTGTGCAGTGTTCTGCTTGGGCGCTCTCATCTGTGTGTTACCTGCTGCTGCTCCTGTCCAAGGGACCTAGAGAGAAGAGGAGGGATCAAGCTTTTGATATCCTTGAGTCCAAGGAGGACTTGGCAAGCACAGCAAATAATTTAAAACATGGTTAGGAGATAGCTAGGAGGAAGGGTAACAAAATGATAGGGAAGTCCAGGAAGATTTTTTTTTTTTTTCATTTGGTCATTTGAAGAAATAAGGTGTTCTTTGTTTTCGCTCTGCATTTATTAGTATGCAAAAATAATATTTGAGAGAATTCTGTCATAAATCTATGTATTTTTTATCATTAAAGACTTCCAAAAAAACAATGTTAATCACTGATTTTATTTTTTTTTTAGTCTTTGCAGTTTGCTTCCTTAATTTGATTGTAGGCTAATCTTGGACTTCATTACTTGAAAATATAAGAAGATCCGATGTTAATCATTATTTACTGATTGCGTTGCTGAAATTCTGTGTGTTTGTTTGTTTTCTTGAGGTTCTTATCTTGTCAAACAATCTACTAAAGAAACTTCCCCATGGAATTGGAAATCTACGGAAACTCCGAGAGCTAGATCTAGAGGAAAACAAACTGGAATCCTTGCCAAATGAAATAGCTTACCTCAAGGATCTGCAGGTGAAACAATAATGGGCTGAGATAAACATCTTACGTCTTTTATTTACACCATGCTGATTTAATTACAGCTAGTTTGAGGGAAAACTATTTGGGACTGGACATAGAATGAAAAGTTAAGAATCTTGCACAGCTCCATCCACAATCTGTCCCCACTAATTCTTCCCCAGATGTATCAGCTAATACTGAACAAAAAAATTTTGAAGAGTGTAACTGTTGCACCACGAATACAGTACTGCCACAGGAATAGCCTCTGGTTTCAGTCATGTTCATGAAAGCTTTTATATTTAGACCTGTATTTTACTATGCACTATTTTATTTTTATGTTTAGTGAGGCTTAATAGAGGTCTGAAATATTGTTGAAGGGTAGAAATCTTTTTGTTCAAATGCTGGAGAGCACAACCCATCCATTTATCAGCTATATATCTTGTTTTACTTGCTGTCTTTTGAAGCAAAGGTCATTAAGTTGATTTTTAAAAATGTGTTTTTTCCCTTTAGAAATTGGTTCTGACTAATAATCAGTTGACCACCCTTCCCAGAGGTATCGGTCACCTTACCAATCTGACGCACCTTGGGCTTGGAGAGAATCTTCTCACACACCTTCCTGAGGAAATTGGTAAGATCCCTTGTTCTGGTTTTATGCAGGGAGCCTGAGCCAGAGCAGTTGCTGCCACAGAAGAGAGGCATCTGCTGCTCTCACAAGTAGAGGCCACAAAATTCATGTGAAACTCCTAGATATACACAACCTGATGTGAAACATGTGCCACAGGAACATCACTCCGGTGTACAATCCTTATCTTGCTGAACTGTAGTAAAACAAATGGTCTGGCTTTTTTCAGTTCTTCTGCAGAAAGCTGCCAAACACACACTAACCTGGAATAGCGAGATTCCTTTTCTCTCCAAATTCTGTCACAACTTGTGTATTATCAGTCACTCAGCTTCATAAACCTATTCTTAGAGAGAGGGCTGTGTCAGAAAGGAAATGTGCTGCTCCTGCTGTAATTCCATGGTGGAGACAAAACCCTGTGTAAGGTGTGAACAGCTGAAGCAAACCTTTCTGCCGATAGTCCCTCTGCACACACTCCTGTTTGTAGGCCACTGTGTTATTTTTCACCTTGATAAGAGAATGAAGTGAAGGAAATCTACAAAAAGGGAGAATTATTTTTGTCTACTTGAGACATCCAGAGTAAACGAGATTCAGAGCATGTGAAACTGAGACCCCCCCATTTCTTTATAGTCGATCACAAGTACCTCCAGAGCATGATTCTGAGAACTTAAGTTAAAATCTTAAAGTTAGAGCTCATTATGGAGCAAAAAAACGATGGGAGAAGCTACACAAAGCAAGATGTGGTCAGAAACAGTGACGTGCAGATGGAGAAGGCTGGGACAGAGTCTGTCTCTCCCAGCATCTTTAGTGAAAAGCTGTTAGAGCTTCTGCTCATCTTGTGTGTGCCTCAGTGTGAGAAGGCTCCAGATTTACATTGGTTTAGGCCTTTGTAATTTAATTAATAAGTTAGTAGAGAGAGTTTGGATACTGTGGAAACAAGCTGGGGACTTAAAGTATGTAAGTAAACTTGAAATACTATTATAGGCCCACAATTTGGTTATTAAAGTTGGTTGTTTTAACAGATTAGATAATAATTAACTATTTTCAGATGCGACTGCTTCATCTAAAGTTATCAGCTATTGCCTATTATATCTTAGCCTTTTCTTTTTGTTGATTTTTCCATGCCTAGAGCCCTGGCTACTGCTACTCTTGTGAAAGACGCAATAGTTTTTTAGGTTGTAGGAGGGATTTATGATGTATAAGATTGGAAAATGGGGAATGCTTTGAGGAGGACTTGCATACTGGGAGTATATGTCAAAGGGATTAATTTTGATATTTGATTGCTGTGGAGGAATGCAAGTCTTAAGAAAGTTAAAAATTAGTCCGTTTTCCATCTTCTGATTAATCTATATTGCAGTATCTGTAGTAGAGGCAGGTTGTAAAATTTGTATTCAGGAGGAGTTTTTCACAGGGGTTAGTTGCATTTAATAAATTCAGTGCCGTGCAGAGATCTCTCCTGCTTTCTTCCTGTGGTGCATTAGAGTTACAGCTTCAGGTCTTTATAATGTATGTATTCTAATTAAATAAAAGGTATGGCATAGATATTTTTATAGACATAATACATACTGTACAGTATAAATATTTTCTAAGCCCTTCTAACTAGATAGCTGTTCAATGTTGCCTGTGATTGCAAAGCACTTGGCTGAACAGCTATGGTGAAGTCTCTCTCAGTTCTCTTATTCTGTGTATTCTCAATTCAGTTGTTATCTAAAGGACATTTAGTAATGGATATTTTTAAAGGGAAACTAAAGCAAATTGGTTCTTGCTTAGGTTCTGCTGCTTGGAGATGGGAGTTCAGATGAGTCACTGCCTCTATATTCCACATAGGAAAGAATAAAGCGGATTTAGAACTTCTGTCTAACAATTATAAACTGCACGAATCCAAAAAATACTTATTTGTATTATTTTATTTTGACCAGGTACACTGGAGAATCTGGAAGAACTGTATTTGAATGACAACCCCAATCTGCACAGCCTTCCCTTTGAGCTGGCTCTTTGCAGCAAACTGTCAATAATGAGTATTGAGAACTGCCCGCTCAGCCACCTTCCACCTCAGATTGTTGCAGGAGGACCCTCCTTCATCATCCAGTTCCTAAAAATGCAGGGACCATATCGTGCCATGGTCTGATGCTAATCGGATTGTCCAATACACTGTACAAAATACAAACTGCATTAATGTTGTAATTGTCTGTATATGTATATATAATATAATATATGTGGTTTATATTATATTATATATATATATAAATATATAAATAATATAAAAAGGCAAATTTAAGACTGCATTATGTGTTTCTGCTAATAGAGGAATCATAGCCATTTAGATTTTTTTTTTTTTATTCTGTAAAAATGCTTGTCTAAGTTTTCTTTGCTGAATTTGATGGAAGTTGTCTGAATAATCTGGAAATGCCAGTTCATTTAAAGCAATTGCCAATGAACTCAAAGTTTAAATTTAAGGGACAAAAATAGTTTTGCTTAGATTTACTTTCAGTTAAGAGAAATGTATAACCTTTATATAATGAACTTTTCTGTTTTCCTCCCTCTCTTTTTTTTTTTTTCGTGTCAAAACCTGAAAGGGTCATGTGTCCTGAGGTTGGGATTTTCTTTTAACTTATTTTGAGATTTGAAGCAAATGGTGTTTTTATATTGTTTACAGTCAGAGTAAATCACTGGATTTTGTTTTATTCTGATTTGCTCTGTTTTAATCAATCATATCTAGAATTTATATGCCTCTGCTGATGAATTTTTATCAACCGGTTTGTATACTAAAAGCATATACTCATCAGAACAACTGGCAGGTGAAAAGGTTGCAGTCAAAACAAAAGAAAAAGAAAAGAAAAGAAAAAAAAAAAAGCTTGAATTCCTTTAAGTCTTGCTTCCCTGAGTTATCAGTTGCAGGCATAACATATCTGAACTGAGCCTTTTGCGGTTGGTCTTTTCTAGCACAAGTAAATCTTTTCAGATTGGTAAAAACGTGGAGTAAACTCAGTGAAGAGCGTTTTTCATTTCGTGAAGTAACAATTCCATGAGGTCTAACAGTACAGTTAAGTGGCGAGGAAATAATATATATGTACATTTTTATTACAATGTTGAGTCATAAACTACAACAGGCAATTTTAAGGATTCCTTATAGTCCTTGTACAATAAATGAATGTGTCTTACTTTTAAACACTGCAATATATGTAAGTTTTAAGGTTGGTTAACAATGTACTATGGTTTTATATCTTGACTTGCCTTGTACCTCCTTCCATTATGGAACTTCTGTGTCCAAGCACAATATCTTCACACTGTGCTGTTTTGCTGCTGAACTAAATGCACTTTTCCCCACGGCCGGGGCACTTGCTTCAAAATATTCAGTTCAGTATCTTGATTATTCTTTTTTTAACTTCATCCTATCTGTTTCAGTATTAAACCAATCTATTACAAAAGAGGCACCTTTTTCATTTGTGCATAGATGGTGGTAGCTCAAGAGAAACACTGTAAATAGTGGACATTGGGTTTTATCATGACTTCCTCGGTTGTTTAAAAGGCAGAAGATGCTTCAGGGAGATGGACACTGCTGCTGCATTTGTAGGGCCACTTGTCCCTTTCCAGGAGGGCAGGAGCTGGAGGCGGTTGCATTCCACGGTTACTCAAGAACTGGCCAGTTCATACCCATTGGAATTGCTGCTGGGGTGGTGTCACTTAGAGGACTGTACCTTTTGAACAAAATCAGATCAACCGATGCCATGGGAAACCTATTTCACATGCAGAAGTTTGGGTAATATGATTTCTGGCTTTCAGGCATGCTTCTTGGACGTATTGCCTTGACCTATTTGCATTCTGTTTTGTCGTTATGTCTTTTCATTAACAAGGAGTAAGTTGAAATGGAAGGCAGGTGGAGATATAAAACCTTAGGGGGGGCTTAAACGTGCTGTAAAACTATTGTAGATGTCACTGGATTTTACTAAGTAATGTTCTTTCCTTTCTCACACACTCTGTCTCTCTGTCGTCCCCCTCCCTTTTTTTTTTTTTTTTTTTCTCCATATCTATTTAAGTTTTCAATATTATATAAAACTATTGTAGATGTCACTGGATTTTACTAAGTAATGTTCTTTCCTTTCTCACACACTCTGTCTCTCTGTCGTCCCCCTCCCTTTTTTTTTTTTTTTTTTTCCCCACATCTACTGTAGCTTTTCAGTTTAGACTTTTAGTTTATAAAAGGCTAGTTCCTTACAGTTCTGCCTGAAGTTTGATCTTTCTCAGCATTAAGGTGTTAAAATATGAAGATGCTGAAGTGTTTAGTATCAAGACTGTAATCTGACTTCTGAAGTTACTGCTCAATCCGGATTTGTGCCCTCAGGTCTCTAGGGGAAACTGGTTGGATGAATTATGGTTCCTTAAACCAAAAGCGGCGACCCCTTGTGTTTTCAAGCATCCTGGTCTCATTCCCTGTCTGCTCCTCAATCCCATTTTTGTAAGAGTTGATGGGATTGGCTTTGTTTAGTTTGTAAATATGTTGATTATTCACCTTGTTAAGGTACATGGTTAATGACTGTATGATTGGAGCTGACTCCCTCTCGCATCAATTCTTGTGGAGAGGATGTTGGCTGCCAAAATAGTGCTCGTTACACTCGCTTAAAAACAAGCTATTCTTTTCATTACACTTATAGGAATAAATAAAGCTACGTTTTAATTCATTACTATATTAAAAGCAGGATATTTTTTCATACTATCTTTGTACTAGTATGGTTGTTGCAATGCCAGATAATCCTGAGCCCTGTTTTAGGAGTTTAATTTTATACATTCTGAGGTGCACACTTATTTTTTCAGTGTCTCAAGAGAGATTTGAATAAAAGCAGTGTGAGAGAAGTTCTGGTACAGGAAAAATCAACTCAGAAGAATCTGAAGAGTTCTTTAAAATTATTCAAAATTTTAAGTATGAAATGTGTGGCATGAATTGGGAATAGATGCATATAAGTCTGTGTAAGTACATATGTGGATTTATATCCAAATCTATGCACAGATCCATATAAATCCAGCTGTTTTGATCGTTCCAAATAGTCTTACGTCCTGACTTAACAGACTTCTGCATTTCCCAGGATGCTGGATTGTTAACTGGTGCAGTCTTAAAATTGTATTTAATGCCTGATGACATTCAGTTGGGCACATGGGCTGCCTTACACATTTAAGAATTTTCTTTGGGCTAATCAATTAAAGTATGAATGGCAAGAACTTCATCCTGACAAGTGTATGTATACATACATATATATGTGTGTATGTATATATGTATGAAAGCATATACAAGGTGGTGAAATTAATTCTTTATGCCATCTTTGAAAACAAGATGGAGAAACAGGTGATTCACAGATCACAGTTCCCAGTATTAAATCTTTATCCCCCTTGCCATACAGGGGGAAATAATTTAGAAGGGTTATTGAAAAGTGTGACAATCTTTACTTTGGGTCAAAATTACAGCCTTGATGGCTTGCCCATAGACAAAATATCAATTTTATATGTGTCTGTGTCTATGTATGTAAGAATATGTACAGACACACGTGCCCCATAGGACACTATCCTGAATCATGGCTTTATTTAAGAAGCTAAGTGACTGTTCTATGGACTATATAGTATTAGGGGAGTCTGGTAAGGCCCAAAGCAGACTAGGGATTTGTTAAATAATGAAAAGAAGGACTAACTGCTGTTGTGACTCATATTGGTCGCATATTGCATTTAATTTAACTAAACAGCAAGCTGTTTGGGAATTCCTTGCAAAAATGTTTTCTTTTAGTATAAACCCATTAAAGTTCTGTCTCTGGCTGTCTTGTATAGGTTCCTCTCCAAAGTTGTCCACTAGAAATGCAGTGGAAATGCTGCACCTAAAGGTGGGTCACGCAGTTGTGTAAAAATTGGCACTTCCATTTACCAGATGCTACTGAAAAGTTTGAAATTCACACGCCCTTTTTAAAAAGAGCCTTGGGTTGTAGAATATTTGCTTCAGTACCTCTCTTGGGTGTAAGGGTTTTCTCTACAGTATTGTCCATCTTTTGCTAATGTGTGAGAAAGTGCATGTTCAGACTTTTTGAAGGTCGTGTTTGCTCATGTACATGATTTAGTAAATTAGTACTTAAACTGTCCAGCTGGTTAGCGCTTAAACCCATCGTGTCACCTGGAATTCAAGTTTGGTCTTTAATCCTGGGGGTTTGAAAAATACCTTTAAATACCTTTTATTTAGCAATTAGAAAACTTTGGGGTGTTATTTTTTTCTTTTTTTTTTCCATTTTTTTTTAACCCTCCCAAATAAATTAAATTTCTGAATCAGTGCAAACCCATATCAGGGAAGTCTTCATATCTGGATGCAACTAAGGATTTTCATGTGGTGGGTATCACACCTGGGTTGGATCAGACCAGCATGCCAGAAGAGCTTCTAATTAGTAATTAGAAATGTGCAGTTGGCAGTAATTTGCACAACACAAACTTCAAGGCACAGTAAGGACAATTACAAAGAAACGATAGTATCTACAAATGGTTTTTGTTTTTACCTTAGCAAAGATCAGAAGATTATGTTTATTATTCTGATGTTTAGGTCTTAACCAGGACTGCACAGAACTTTTGCTGTGGAAAAATACCGGACCACACTAATTTTGTGGTTAAAAGCTAAACAAGAGTGTAAACAGTCTACAAAAATGTACTTTTAATCTGAATTATTGTAATGTTGATTGTTATGTCTATATAAAAGATTGCCTTGCTTTTTTATAAGAGTCATTCTGTATCAATGCATTCATTATAAATAGTATATTTGTAAATAAGCTGCCACTGAGTCTTTTGAAAGTTTTCTAGTATTTCTAGTCTAACGTTAAACTTGGATGTAAGTCGTACTTTTGCAGTGCCCCAAACTATCACGAGCTGCTTTCTCATTATGTACTCATCACTCTTCTAAAGACCTCAAGGGAAATACAGATTTTTTTTCACGTAGAGCAATTACAGGAAACTTTAAAGGTTGCATGACAGTAACTGCTGTGGTGTGGAGTTGTGGAGATTGGACACCTTTTATAACGTGACTGTTGGTGAAACCTTTCACTTTGTTGCAGTACAGTAGTGCATGGAGTAAAAAAAAACACCCCACCTTTCTTTCTGAAAGGGAAAATAAATCTTGGATTTTAGTGCAAAATGCATTTCAACAACAACAAATGTAAAGTAGTTATAGAATTCTGGTGCCTAAAAGACAGACACTGACATTTAAAATTCTGGCTAAATAAGAGAGTGTTGCCAAACTGATATGACACAGCTCTGAAGTGATGTCTTTTAACTCTGTAAAGTTCATTCTGATAGACACACGTGTTTCAAGAAGGACACGCTTGCGTCATGTCCTACAAACAAACGAAAAAATGCTAGTGTCCTTTGAAGTCAGAATAGAAATTCCTCAGCAGATGGGTAAGATGAGGAGGAGGAAGGCACCGGTACACTTGCTATCGCTGATGGCTTTAAAAAACTGGGAGGGGTCCTTGTAGGAGCAGCAACAATCTCCTGCAACAATCTCAACTCCTCGGTCCTTACATCAGGTCTCTGCTGAATAAAATCAGTGGAGGGTTTGATCAAGCTGCCTAAAGGTCTGTCTGTGAGTCGAGTCCATCCCTGTTGCTGTAAGTGATTCCACGATCTAAGCACAAGCAAGGAACTGGCCAGTCTCATCACAGGAGTGGCTCTTCCCTCCTGTGATGTTGGACCTCCTACCATCCCTCCTGTGATGGTGGACCTCCTACCATCCCTCCCCTGTCCCGTGGGTCTGAGTGGCAGATGGGTGCTGGAGGGACCGGGGACGTGCCGATCCTCCGGTCACGGCTCCAATCCTCACCAGCCAGAGTCTGAAGGGCTTGTGAAAAGGAAACAGCATCACTGCATTTAGTAGCCATTGAGAGATGAGCCAAATTCACAGAAGAAAGTGCTTTCTTTCATTTTTTTTTCTTTATTTTTTTTGTTTTTTAAATTCTAAATCTAGTTGTGTTTCTGACCTCCGCAACATCCTGCGTCTAATAATTCCACAATATAATTATGTGCTGGGTGAAAAAGTACTTCCTTTCGTTTGTTTCAAACCACAACACCTTATTTCATTTGGTGACTCCTAGTTCTTGTGTTCTGAGAAATGTGTAGTCTTTTTTTCTGTTCATCTGCTTTTTACTACTCTTGAGGTTTTTCTTTCTTTTTTAACGGCAGTGTTTTTTCTCCAAGTCATAGAATTCTGGTTTTTTAGCATCTCTTCGAGCAAAACCTCTCCCATCCTGTGATAATTCTGGCTGCTTTTCTCCATAGTTTTCAAGTCCCAGCTCTGATTCTTTTTGCTAATTCATGGCCTTTAGCGAGCTCTTTTGTTCTTTGTGAACTTCTAGTTTGTGAAATAAAAAGTACAGCTCTGTTGTGAAAATTAAAGTGGAGTGGGCGATGAAGTCTA